GGATTCATCTCCATAACGTCAGGTAGCCAGAAGCCCGGCGCATCGCTGGCGCTCAGCATCCCCTGCAGAGAGAGATGCGCCTGCCGGGCCCCAGGGATGCTCGCCACGGGTTTCGGGTGAGCCGGGTACAAGCACCGGTGTGTCCTCCAGCACGTGTGAGACATCACTGGTGCCGTGACCGCATCCCAAAGCCTCGCCAGTGCAGAGCCCGGGGATGGGGCAAGTCCAGAGCGCATAAAGTTGGGAGAAAAATCTCCCTTTTAGCTTTGCGGAGCTCTCGGTTGGGCCCTCGTGGGTGGATGTGGAGCAGCAAAGGGCACTTCTTGACTCGCTGACACAGGGATGCTCAGGCACTGACGTAGCCACGGGTTTTTGGCAGGAATAGCGGCACAGCCAGAATAACTCGTTCTTTTTGCACAGGCCTGGGGGAGGTCTGTCTCTGTTGCTTCTTTCTGAGAACCAAAGAAAAACCCACTAGAGACAGATGTCCGAATTTTAAGGTCATTTTTTCCCTTTTATATGGTAATGTATTAGCTGAGCAGAAGCAATCCTCAGTAAGTGCCTTAGGACAGAAGAGCTGTTTTTCGGGAATTGGCTGAGAGATACTATCTTTCACTTAAAGTGCAATAAATAAATATACTTTCCTCTTCAAAAAAACACGGGGAAGCTATGCCATGAATCTTTGAGAAAGTTAGAAGACCTTTGAAGCGTTCGGTTTTAGACATAATCAGTCATGTTATCCATTTAAAAAGCAAGCAAACTGGGAAACCAAACTGCAAACCTCTCTCTAATGTGCAAAAGTTTTGGAGAGTTCCATTTTTCACGGTGACGGATGGCTGAGCGGGCCCAGCCTCTTGCTGACATCTGCATAAAGATTGCATTATGGTAAAATTTATGATTTTGAAACATGTTTTCCACACGCTCTGCTACATTCCTCGTGTTTTCCCCCACCTCCTTATCAGTGCCGGGCAGGTATTGTATAACACTGAGGCTCCGCAATGTCAACAGACGACTGGACGAGCTCCCGTGCGCACGACTGCTGTGCGCTGCCGCGCTGCGAGGGTTCGCTGCCGCGAGAGTGACGTACGGCTGCATATGGCACAGTCCGCCGTCCCTCACCCCACAGCAAGGGGGGTTTTGGCTGCTGCCGCCGGCGCCGGTGTCCCCACCGAGCTGCGTGACCCTCAGGGAGATGTCTGCGATGGCATCTCGCAACGCCCCATCTTGCAGCGCAAGTTCACTCCTCCTTGAAAGCGAGAGGGTGACTCCATTGAGAGGACACATCTTTCCGTTGCGGTGCTGCGGTGCTGCTCCTTCCTCTAACGAGTCAGGCGCACAAACCATCGGTGGTTTGAGTTGCGTTCAGTCTCAGCAGCAGTGCCGGCAGCTGAGCATCCTTTGGAAGAGCCGCACCGATGCGGTGTCGCTCATCCCGGCGTGCGCCGGTCCGGACCACAGGCAGGAGCCGACACCGAGACGCAGCCGGTGCCACGGCAGAGGCAGCGTTATGGGCTCTGAACGCTCCGGGCTCCTGCCGGGGCCGATTTTCACGGATGCCATTTCCCTCGCAGGAGGTCACCACGCTTCTACGGAGAGCAGAGGCAGCTCAGCACCCAGCCGCTTGGCGTGCCGGCGCCGGGGCCCGGGGGGAGCCTGGCGAAGGCGCTCACCCTCCAGCGCGGCAATCGCTAAATGACCGTATTCATCAGCAAACACAAAGCAAGGGAGCGGAACCGACCCGGATTTTTTCAGGACAAAGCAAACGGGTATAAAGGACCATTTGGAAAGAAAACTTATTTGGGATTCATTGTTCCCTTGGAGCAAATCTCACTTTTAAGGTAGAAAAGCCTTTTGGCTAAGTGCAAAAGCATGTACTATGTTCTCCTGGAAACAAAAATGTGTGATTCGCATCGCTTTTAGTGCAAAAATCTCCCAAACCTATATAGAAAGGCTGTGGCAGTTGCTCTGCTTGCGGAGGCGCCTCGGACAGCCGTCCCCCCCGTCTCACCCAGGGATGCGGCGCAGGACGGCGGGTGCAGCATCTGCCCAAAGATTCCCAAAAACGCTACTGGGGGAGACGAAGTGTCTCGGCAGCCTTCCTGAGACCGGGGATCAAATAATGACTTCCCTTCATTTCCCCCTTTCTCCTCAGTCTACTCATTAATTAGAGCGCGTGTCTGCTGCCACGGCGTTTTCACTTCAAGTGCGGCTGAGGTCACGAATTCCAGGAGCAAACAGCCTGGCGTCTGTTTCCCATGAAACCTCCCCAAAAGGAGGCCAAGCGGCAAAGCATCCTAAATATCTGCGTGAGCTTCCCGCCACGCGTGCGGTCCGTCCTCCGTCACTTTGTCCGAGCTCCGCCAGTGTGGGAGGGTGCTGCTCGTGCCCCGGGGCTGGCGTAACCTGTTCCTGGGTTTTAAGAAGGAAAGGAGGGGGGAAAAAAGAGTTTTTTGCCTGAGGATTTAAGCAGAGGCCTCTCGGTGATGGAGGGAGCTGCGGGGGGTGGTGGCTTTGGCCGGGATGTCCTTGGGGTGATGGATCTGGGTGACCAGCGCTGGGATGGTGCCCAGTGCTGCCCTTCTCTGCCCACCCATCCATGGCTCGAGAGGGGCTGGAGCCCCTCTGCTGGGAGGACAGGCTGGGAGAGTTGGGGGGGTTCAGCCTGGAGAAGAGAAGGCCAAAAAGGGGAGAGCTCAGAGCCCCTTCCAGTGCCTAACGGGGCTCCAGGAGAGCTGGGGGGGACTTTTTCCAAGGGCATGGAGTGATAGGATGAGAGGGAATGGCTTCAAACTGAAAGGGGAGATTTAGATGTGATTTTAGGAGGAAATTCTTTGCTGTGAGGGTGGTGAGCCCCTGGGGCAGGTTGCCCCGAGAAGCTGTGGCTGCCCCATCCCTGGAGGTGTTCAAGGCCAGGTTGGACGGGGCTTGGAGCAACCTGGGCTGGTGGGAGGTGTCCCTGCCCAGGGCAGGGGGTGGCACTGCGCGGGCTTTAAGGTCCCTTCCAACCCAGACCATTTTGTGACACTTGGGAAATCTCAAGCTGGGTTATAATGATGTTGGTAATTCAAAATAATGATGAAATACAACATGTTGTGTCAACAGCTATTGCTTTCTACGGCATTCGCTGTTCTAAGGCAGCGGAGTGCACAAAAACCCTGAAAGTTAAGTGGAATAAGGTGAAACAGCCCGTTTCCCGGAGCTGGTATTTCCCAGCAAGTTTCTCTGATGTCGGTAATGTAAAAACACTTCAGTATATTTCTGACATTTTCACATCAAAACATAATTATGTTTCGCTATTCAAATATTTAGAAGAAAGTTCTTAACCAATCCTTGCTACATTAATTATTCCTATTAATTATGTATACATTTATAAATAGCAATATAATTAATATTTAACAGTATTTTTATTAGAGAATTTCAAAAGTGTGTTAAAAATCTGCATAGCTGGAACACTACCTTTTAAGTCCAAGGACAGTTTTCTTCTTAATCTTCTTCCTCACTGTCTTATCAGCTTAAACAGTGTCCACACTTCTCCCCAGGGATGATATTTTTAGTTTTGGGGTGGTTTTTTTAATCGTCGTTTGCAGTAGGATGCATAAATCGGGTGCTGCTAATTAGAGCTGATCCCGTGCAGGCGTTATTCCCGGGTGGGCAGCCGGGTGAGGGCTGTGCCTCTGCCCCATCCTGCCCCGGGGGACCGCCGCACCTGCGGCTATTGCAGGGTAATTAATCACCGTGAAGCTGATTGATTTCCTCCCAGGAGGGCTCAGAGCAGCCCGGCGATGCCCTGCTGACAGCAGGTTTGTGGTGGAGCAGCAGCTTCCCTGGATGCAGCCGGGTTGGGTGGCCGCGAGGCTGAGATGCGCCTTTGGTCCCCGCCGGCGCGGCGTTTTTGCTGGCGCGAGGGGCTGCCCACGAGTCCCGCGCGCCCCGCTCCTCTCTCTGGGAGGACTCTTCTCACCAGGACCGGCACCCACTGAGGCTGAGCCACCGGGAAACCCCCACAGCTCCTCTGTGGGCTGTGCGATTCGATGCGCGGCACGGAAAGCAGGGACGATGTCACGCAGAGGGGTCTCGGTCCTACCAAACCCGGCCGGCAAGTGCAGGCTGCCGCTCTTCGCCGCGACCTTCAACGGGCTGTTGGTTTGCTGCGAGGGAAGCAAAGATGACTCGGGATAGGGACAGAAAACCCCCAAAGGTTCCATTTGTGACTCATAACCAGCCTGATGCTATGGTCCCTGTCCCACAGGCAGGGGACCGGGCTGCCTCCAGGCAGGTGTCTCCAGCTGGTCCTGCGCTCGGAGGAAGAGGAGCGAAGGTTCCTCTCCCTGCGGAGGGGACAGGGCAGGAGGGTGGCACCTTCCTCGGGGAGGCAACGGCCGCCCTGTCCCCGTCCCCGGGGCTCCCGTGTTCTCCGTCACCTGATGCGGGAGCGGGTGCCGGTGCCCGGCGGTGCCGATGTCCGGCGGCGCAGCCCTGTGGAGCCCTGCCAGCCGAGCGCCCACGGCGCGGCGGAGCTGCTTACACAAATCACCCGGCTCCTGGGATGCAGAAAAAAAAAAGGAATCAGCACAAATTCTCCCTGCTGCATCAGGTACCTGTGTTTTCTCTATTAACATAATGCGATCCACCTGCCGGCAGTGCACATTTTATCTTGATTTGCGACGCCTTCTACTTTCCCGACGGCACCCCCCGTCACCCGCGTGCGGTATTTCTTGCCTCCGAACATCGGCGTGAACATTTCTCAGCACGTGCGTTTGCTCCAGCTCGGGGATGGGCCCGCTCTCGCTCGACTCATCACTTTCTCGCTGCCGTCTGCAAAGAAATTCCAGGTTTTGTTGCTGATTTTATGCAGAGTGTAACGTCCCGGGAGTAGCTGGCGTACCTCAAATGCGGCGTAGCATCTGCCTGGATCTCTAAATTACGGTGTGTTAGTCCCTGCGACGGTCGGTCCCGTCCGCACGCTGCAGCTGCGCTCACCGCAGCGGGGGGTCCCCGGGGAAGGCAGTCGGGCAGGAGCAGCGCCGCAGGGTGCGATTTTGGTAAAACGGGTGAAACTATCTTCTTAAGAGAATGCACCTCTACTACCAAAAGAGAAAATAATCATCTTCTCTCCTGGCCTGTTCTGCAGACTAGAACAAATGAAGAGAATAACCCTGAAATGAACTAATGGAAAAACTCAGTACGGTTTTCCATTGAGGCGAAGGAAATGAAGCCCACTCGCTGGCGCTTCGAGGCTGCGTTATCCCAGCGATGGTCCCCAGCAATGAGCCTCAGTGAGCCGGTTGCGGCGCTCCCGCCTTGCGCCTTGAATTGTTTCCCGTCTTCCATCACCTTGAAAAAAAATCTGCATATGGTGATGACACTTGGGTCATCAAGATTAATAACGATAGACTTCTGCTGGTGTTTAGTCAGGGAAAAACACCTGGAGCTGCTCTTTTATGACTGATTAATTAGGGGGAAAAGAACGCCGTGGTTCTAATTGGCATTTGAGTTCTTTCTGAGTTTTAACATTCATGCTATGCAAATATATCAATTCCTAACAATGTCTAACAAGATCATTTGAAAATGAGTCTCCCTGGGGGATTGCAATCACGGCTTTGGGAAAGGCCTGAGCCTGTTTGCCTTACGTGTGCTGGCGGAAATCCGCGGGACAGTCTGTATCTCCGTTCGGGTCCCACGCGCATCCATCGGGCGCTGCCCGGGGCGGGGGGCACCCCCCAGCCCCCGCCCCCGTACCGCCTGCTCCCGTGCTTTGGGAGAAGATGCCTTTCATCTAACTCTGGTTCCCGTGCCCGACGGTAAGAGCAAAGATGGGCTCCGGGTCTTTTTTTGTCTTCATCTTCACACCTCCCCTTTGCTTCGTCCCCGCAGCCGCCGCGGGAGCCGGCGATGCCGCTCTCGCAGCCCGGGAAGAGGGGTTCCGGCCCCGCTCCTCCCTGCCTGGCACCAGATGTTTCGGCAGAGGGAACAGAATCGCCCATGATTAATTCATCCTCATGAAAAAACCATGTCTGACTCCAGCTAATAGCTGGTTTTAAGGGTGTTGCGTAACTTGGCTCTGGAAGGGAGACCGCCGAGGCTGTCTCGGCGATGGAAGGTGTTCCTGGGGGGTCTTGTTTACACCGGAGGGATAAAACAAGTCCTCAACGTATTTTAATGTGCTAATTGGGGGTTATTACGGCCCTTTTTATTTACCATTATATTACAAATGTAATACTCCGTCTCATTTTACTCTGCACTAAGAGCTTTGAAAGGATGATAATTACCTCTCATGTAAACCTATACTTATATAGAAAAAGTGACGTGTGAAATGAAAGGCCTGGAGAAACGGCATAATCTGTGTTTGCTCTGCGTAGACGTGCAGGATAGGCGCCCGCTCCGCTCCGCTCCTGGATGTATATGCACTATTTGCAGCGGAGCAGCTCGTTAGCGCCGCTGCCGCGCTCGGGCACCGAAGGCGGCACGAGGGGATCCGCGTCCCTGCCACATCCATCACGTTTGCTTAATATTAAGGCAGCCCTCTGCCTGCAAATGCTGCCTGGGAGGGGATGAATAATTCATCGCCGGCACACGGAGCGGACGGATTTTGCCTCATTTTCTGGCCTGGTTGAAATCCTGTGTGCAAAGGGCATCGCTGCCCGCCCCGGAGCCTGTCGCAGCCTCCGGAGGAGAGCCGAGGTGTCGGGAGAGCATCGCCTCCCGCTCTTACTCCCCACGGGATGCGGGCTCCCAAGCCGTCGGGGTTGGAGGGTTTGCTGGCGACGGTTTGCGCTGCTCCACGCTCAAGATTGCCTTTGCATCTGTTCATCTGGTTACACGGAGCGCGTCGTGCCGCAGCGTGAAAGATTAGGCATGGATTTGGGGGGGGGAAGCACCCGGGCACATTGCGACTCCCTCCCTCGGCAGCGCATCCCTTCCCTGTTCCCGCAGGAAAACTGCATCAGCTCCCGGAGCTGGCAAGGGAGCTCCTTGCTGCAGTTCTTCCCTCTCGCTGCCTTTTCTGTCCCTTTTCCCCCTTTTTTTTTCATTTCCAAGGCCTCAGGGCGATAATTATTTTTTGACTGGAACAATAAGCCAAAGCTCCGCAACGGGCAGGGATAAGTTCAGGCTGTTATTTATTTTAAATGACTGAGCTGATTTGCCTAATGCTCGTCGCGCAGCCGGGGATGCGGAAGGGGCGGCTCCGCTCGACCTCTCGCTTTGCTGCCGCGGAGGAAAGGTAAATATTTCCTCGGGCAGAAAGTTTCTCCAAGCCTTGCGAGACGTGGCGGCCGCTGTCTTCCAGCGCAGGGCGAAGCTGCAGCCGGCTCGGATGCGCAAAGTAAATTTAATAGGGACTCTGGCCCCACTGCTGGCACCGCTACGCCGGAGGTCCGTGCGAGGGTCTGGGACAGCACAAAAGCCTCAGGGGACACGGGTGATCCAGGAGAGAGACGGCCCTGAGCTCAGGGCTCCCAACAGCGCCTTCGGCTTCCCCTGGGAATGATGGCAGAGAAGCAGAAGGGTGAGATGGGCCCTCCCCATCCCCAGTGCCGGGGTGCGAGCATCCCGCGGGCGAGCGAGGTCGGACCCCCGGCACCCAAAGCCCATCTCTGTCTGGCGATGCCGCCAGCGAGAGCATGTCGCAGTTGCATCAAGAATGAAATTCTAATGAAATTTGAGTATTATTTTTTTTCCTTCTGTTTTTGAAGTTTGCCAGGAAGCTTGTTAAGAAGGATAATATGAAGGTTTAAGCTTTTCCAGAGCAAAGCCAGCTGACCCAGTTAAGTCACCTGTCCCCCGGCGTAACAGGATCTCTGCAAAACCCTTCAGTGCCACCGAGGAACCGCTGCAGATCCCCCCGACGGCACGCTGCGGCACACCGGGAGCGGGGGACAGGGGAGCGCGTCCTGCAGGCTCTGTGCTGCGTTATCCTGGGAGCAGGGGATGGGGGAACGGGGCAAAGCATCCCGCAGGCTCCGTGCATGCCCGCATCCCTCCCTGCAAGGTTTATTTTGGTCCCGGGAAGGACTGAGATCATCTCTTCATCCCCAGGCTCGTTCGGCGCCATGGAAAGGGTTTGGGTCATGGAGGATGCAGCTCGGCTCTGCCATCGCTCCGCTGCATGCTTGCCTCTTTTGTTTTTACTTTATTTTCCCAAAGCGTTCACAAATAAGCCGGTCTCCACTTTCATTTAAAAAAAAAAAAAAAACAAAACTAAACCCCAACAACAAAAAAAACCCCAAAACAAACAAAGAAACAAAAAAAACCCCAACCAACCAACCGAAAAAAAAACCACCACAACACCCAAACCGCTTCTGACACCGGAGCGTGTCGCTGGGCCGCTCCTGGGATGCTGCAGCCGAAAGGGCGGTCCAGCTGCGGCCGGCCCGCCGAGCATCCCTGCACACTGCGTCCCGCTGGCGGTCGGAGGAGATGCTGACAAACCAGGAGCGGATGTTTTACGCCTACGACTGGGCCGGGAAGCGTCTCTGGTACGAGCTGCCACAATCCTCCCAAATATTTGCATTGCAACAGATGTTACTTTATACATTTCCCTTCCCTTAAGCCTGTGGTTATTGCGGAGAGGCAACGACGCCAGGTGTGACTCTAACTACCAAAATCAGGACTCGTTCAGTGCTTTGATGACATCAATTAGCTCCGGGGCGCAAGTGCCAAGATTTCTCCAATTACGGCAGGTAAATCTCTCAGACTATAATAATCTCATTTGAAGTGGTTCAAATGAGTTCAGTTCGTTATACGGAGACATACATCCACACGCACCTATATGTGTGAAGGAGAAAACTACTCGCTCCCCTGTGAGTTTTGCCTACAAAGCTTGTGTTTACATATGCAATAATTTTTCTGGAAAAAAAAAAATTAAAAAAATCTCTTTTTCCTCTGCCATCCATGGGGCGATGGAGGCCCCAGCGAGTCGCCAGCCCGGGGAGCGCTCTGCGAGAAGAGGAGCGCCTTCCCAGAGTGAGCCGAGACTGCCCAGGCAGCCGCTGAGAACCTGTTTCCAGATCAATGTGGGAAGAAACCTACAGAATTATAAGTAAAACAGAAAAAGTGCCAAATCAGTCAATTTTCAAGACGTGGAAGATGAATCCCAGACTGTCTGGGGAGTCTGTTCTTTCGAGGGCTCTGTAGTTGGATGAATAATAATGCAGTTTTCAAGTGCTTTCGCGAGGAGGGGGCGGTCGGTGCTGCTCACCGCAGTCCGTGGTGGCCGAAGGGCATCGGGATGCCGGATGGGCGTCCAAGGCGATGCCGCCGCGCTGGGCAAATTCCTCTTGAGCAGTTCAGCCCAAGCAGGAGAAGGAGGGAACTCCAGAGGTCGGCTGCACAGAGGGAATAATTCATGGGGCGTTCTTGATCTGGGAAGCGCTTCATTTAAATGTGGTTGAGAAGTGGCCCCGCGTCGCTGCCGGCGTTGGGCGCAGGGCGAGCAGGGGCGGCCGTCCCACGGACCAGCCTTGTTGTCCTTGGTCTAACTGTTGGGGGGATAAACAGCCACGTTTAATCTTCACGGCTTTCGCTCAGACACCTTTCATCAGAACTGCATTAACTTCTTTTCTTTTTTAAATGAGCAAGTATTAAATCTGAGAGGATTTGCAGCAGAAGTGAGTTTCATATCCCAATTTCCGCACCCAGGAAATCAACTACTGAGTCCAATCGTTGTCAGAAACAGTTACCAAAAAAAAAAAAAAAAAAAAAAAAATGACAAAAAAAAAAAAAAAAAAAAAAAGAAGAAGAAGAAACTGAAAATCTGCACAGTAGAAGAAACACAAAGTCTTTGGTGTGAAGGGAAGAGGCGTATCTCCCTGGAG